GCAGATACACAAAAATAAGCATATGTGCATATTTGCTAGATTCTTTATTTTCATGATTCTAAAAATAACGATTCCTAGTAACCGTTCAATTCCTAACAATAATTCTAAAAATAATTCAAGATTTAACCATAAAAATAATATATTCCTAGTAATAAATAAACAATAATTCAAGGTTTAACCATTCAATTCCTAACAATAATAATTCCAAAAATAATTCAAAATATAACAATAATGCCAAAAATTTGAAATAAATTAATAATAATAATTCATAATATAATATCAATAAATCCAAAACTACAAATATATTGAAATAAATTAATACTAATTTCAAATATAATACCAATAAACCCTAAAATACAAATATATCAACATTATTTACTAAAATTTGAAATAAATTAATAATAATTCCAAATATAATACCAATAAACCCTAAAATACAAATATATCAACATTATTTACTAAAATTCACAATAAATTAATATAAAATTTGAATTAATTAATAATAATTAAAAAATAAAATAGAAAACTTACCAGCAACTCGGCTGAAGGCAGAAGGCGGTGCGGTGCTTCGTCGGCGGCTCATCTGTGTGTGGCGGAGCGGCGGCAGAGGCTGTGCGAGTTGCGGCGGCGGTGGCTATGGCTGGGCAGTGGTGTGGCGGTGGGCGATGGCGAAGAGAGACGCCGATGGCCTGTGGCGGAGAGACGACGAGGCTGCGGCGGCTGTGTCTATGGCTAGGCAGTTGATAAGGACGATTTTCACACATCCATCAAGTATCAAATCACAGTATAGAGTTTAGATATCGTTCCACTGGAGATGACTCTTGTAATGTTAGGAATTGATGCAAAGTGGAGCTAAGCATAAGCAAGGAGTATTCTTTTAGAAGCTAAACCTATCGATAAGGAGTTGGTTTGATATGATTAAGCTAATAACAAATAAGAGTAAAACAAAGGACCGGGACTTGGTTGATTCAAGCTAAGATGCCAAATATTCTACTAATGATTAGGGAATTACACAAGGCATAGGGTAAGTGAGATCCACAAAAGTGTCCAAATACCACTCTCTTAGCTATTTGGACTTGCAACCTAACCTTAAACTTGACTCTCGTGGCAATTCAATCCAAGGTTGCCCAAGCAAGAACACAAGGCATAAATTCTCCTTAATACCCGAAATACTCTCGTATTGGGTATTAAGTGTTGAATGTATGGCTAGTGTACAATCTCTACTCTCGTAGCAACAAACACACTCAAAATCAATCATATAATTGGGATCCAACAATCATACACAATTTCATAACAAACCCAATTCACACAACTAACCCTAGAACACCCAAATAATCCCCTTTATGCAATACAACTCAAATAGGCATCAATAGCAAGAAATCAAACCAAATCCTAGTCCCAAAACACTTAGCTACTCATAATATAACAATAGATACACAATATTGAAAGAGTAATTGAAAGCATAGATGAAAAGTAAAGAGAAGAGATAATAAGAAAACTTCTCTATTGAAGCTTTGAAATCAAAGATTTGCAATGTTCTTGAGCTTAGAAATGGAAAGGAACAAGTAATCTACACTAATCTAAGCTATTCTAGAGCTAACCTAACTAGAGAATGAAAGGGAAATGAAAGATGTATTTTTGGGGTGGAAATTCCCCTTTTAAATGGCAAAAAATGCGCCGGTATAAGATGCAGAGGGCTGCCCACGGGTCTGGCCATGGGTGTGGCTTCACCCGTGGCCAAAAATGCAGTTTACACTGCCCAGTTGCCACGGGTGTATACAGCCTGGTTGCCATTCTGTGCATTGTGTCCGTCTTTTAGGTAATTTTTCCCCCTCAAAACTTTTGAATTAGCCTTTGTGGTCTTCATCAAAGTTGTATCCCTTCAATTTAGCTTTCCAATGACATGAAAATCACTTGATTTGGACATTCCTAGGCAGAGATATTACCAAAATACCGAGCAGTGGACAATTTGTGCAAGAATTTCAACTTCTTGCTCTTTTGCTCCACTTTTGTCTTTGTTTGTCCAAATGATCAAGACCACTAAATACACCACAATTTGGCTGTCTAAAAGGTGTTTCCCCCATCTTCATAGCTTCTCATTGGCTCCCATTGGCTCTACATGCATCCAAAATGCCCCAAAAATCACTCAATTCATCTAAATCATCAAGAATTACACATGGACACACACACAAATGAATCAAATGATGACACTTTGGGCAAAATTATAACAAATAAAAAGGAAAATAAGCTTAAATGAAAGGTGAAAACATTAACATGTTGGCACTTATCAGCAGCGGAGTGGCGGTGGGCGATGGCGAAGAGAGTCGACGAGAAGGGAGACGACCGCTGTAGCTGTGGCTATGGGTGAGAACGGCTATGGGCGGAGAAGTGAGAATGACTGTGCTCACGTCTCATATCTGTTTTTATAAAATTTATATAGTTGTCTATTAACTAATAGCCGACGTTATATCTAAAAAATTAAAAAAAAAAAAATACCCTACGACGTCGGCTATATAGATAGCCGACGTCGTATTATATTTATTTCTTTTATTTTTTATTTTTATTTATAATGTCGCCTATTAGTTAATTAAAAAATAAAAAAGTCTTTAACGTCGGCTATGTATGTAGCTGACGTTAAAGGCCCGACGTTGTATGTGAATTCTGTAGTAGTGAGCGTTGCTATCTATTTCTGTCCACTTTGCATCGTCTGTGAAGTTGGCTGGTCTTTCTTCAATTGCTGCAACACAGTTATCTTTCCTGAGAACTGCTTTCATTCTCATTTTCCACAATGAGAAATTGTTCATATTGAACTTTTCAATCTCATACTTTGCCGCTATTGTAAGTGGTGTTCTTGATTCAAATCCTAAACAATATATCTAAATAGCATCGTATAATAGAACACTACCAGCCATATGAACAGTACACCAAGTAAATACTTCCGGAGAAGAGAGGTGAGTCACAAATGGACTGCTTAAATACCACGTCTTAACCAGAGCTTTTCCTAGACATGTACCATCACTTTGCCATAATGAGTTCTAACATAAACGATACAATAGAGATATATCTATGAACCAACCTAGGCTCTGATACCATTTGTTAGGATCGATACGGTTCACAACACCAAAATACAATACAACTTCGACTGGAAATAATGAGAATATTTCTAGTGTAAAATTTAAAATAAATCACACACACAATAAAGGTAATTTGAAGAAGGATTTTTTGTTTGGCAAAAGGATATTACAATAGGAATTACAACTATAACTCTCTATTTACTCTCTGTATTTTTGCATCATGCTATTGGGATGATTCCTGATGGAATGGGAGATGATTTTTGTTGGTCCAAAAAGAGGTAAGGTAAAAGTCTAGAGGGGGGGGGGGTGAATAGACTTTTACACCGTTTCGCTAATACAACAATTGCTAAGGCAACAGAGAAACCAAGACACTCTTAACTAGATTGTTAGAGTCTTGTGCACAACGGAATAATAAAGGTAGTGTGTGTGTCGATTGTGTCAAGTATATCACGTGATAAGAGAGTAAAGAGCAGTAAGTAAATAAAGTAGTAAATGACACAAGGCAATTATAGTGGTTCGGAGGTGATGTAATCCTCCTACTCCACTTGTTCTTATCGTCTAAGAGCAATTTACTATATCCACCACTTCTTGGTTCCTAGATACAATGAATTTCCGTGATCTAGTGCTTTGATCACTAAGCTCACACTAATCACGCCTAGTGCCTCCAACACAGTTGTTTCGGATTTCACAGCTTTGTGCTACTTTCCCGTCTTCCACTCTCCGGTCGACGTATCCCGTGATCTAGTGCTTTGATCACAAAGCCCGCACTAATCACGCGGTGCTTTGATCACAAAGCCCGCACTAATCACGCGGTCGACGTATCCCGTGTGCTTTGATCACAAAGCCCGCACTAATCACGCGGTCGACGTATCCCGTGATCTAGTGCTTTGATCACAAAGCCCGCACTAATCACGCACAGTGCCTCCAACACTGCTGCTTCGGATCTCACAGCTCCGTGTGACAATCCAGGATTTCACAACTCCGTGCTACTTTCCTCCCTTCCTACACTCCCGTATGAATAGAGCTTCTTGAATGGATTCAATAATCTTCATCCTTATGTAGATCATGCCTTCCAGCTGAAGAGCCAGATCATGTATTCTGGGACTTGCCCGCACTAATCACGCGGTCGACGTATCCCGTGATCTAGTGATTTGATCACAACTCCCGTATGAATATCACTTGCTTCCAACTTTGTGACAATCCAGGATTTCACAACTCCGTGCTACTTTCCTCCCTTCTCTTCATCCTTATGTAGATCATGCCTTCCCCGCACTAATCACGCACAGTGCCTCCAACACTGCTGCTTCGGATCTCACAGCTCCGTGCTACTTTCCTCCCTTCCTACACTCCCGTATCTTGCTTCCAACTTTGAGACCAGATCATGTATTCTGGGACTTACTTCATCTCCAATTGACTTTCAACTGGTTCTCATACTTCAGCTCTTACGCTCCAACTTCATCTCTAATTGATTTTAAGTTTTGAACTAGGGACCTTGAAGTTAAATCATCAAGCTTTCATCCATCTCGTCTATACAAATTATTGGTCATTATAGCATTCTCCTTTTTGTACTTCTTTCTTTCCATAGATGCATGATCTCCAAGATAACTTCATATTTCTTTGTATGAGATTTTCGTATATCATCTTCTTTGAGTTGGACGTGTGGGCTTATTTAGTATACATATCATATGCATACATTTTGCTCTTCTTCTTCTTCTTCTTCTTCGTATTTCTTGTATTTTTCCCTTTATCTATTTTAATTTTCCTTTCATGGTATGACATGCCTAGACTTAATAAATAAAATTGGGGATTCTAAAATATAATTTGGCATATCAAAATCTATTACAATATATTCCTAACAATTTTACAATGAAGAAGAGTTGCCTATTTATAGCAAATCTACTCCTGCAAATTTCTTCAAGCTCAAACCTAAGTTCTTAGCCCAAGTATTTGCTCCTGCTCAAGCTTAAGCATTTCCCCTTGCTCATTCTTAAGCAAAAGCAATTCTCCTTGCTCAATCTTAAGCAATCCTCCAAACCTCATCCCAAAGGTTCTGCCCATTTCCACATTTGACTTTAATATTTGCATTTAAAAGAACAAAGCTCATATCAGAGCTTATTGAGAGATGGAAGCCTTATCTTCATATGCAATTGAAGTTAGCTTAATTTCATTTTGTACGTACTACGATATGAACATAAGAACTAGAGACAAGTGAAAATAACTTCGCATAATCAGATACGATATGGGATAATTATGAGACCAAACAATATCAAAATAATGTGTATCATAAAATTAAAGGAAGCTGTTAGAGAAACAACATACAATATTATTATTGCATCCTTAACCTGCATGCATGCTAGTCCAAATGGTTTGTATGTTTTTCTTTCTATGGTCCCTTTTATATCAAAAAAAAAAAAAAAAATTAAAGTAGTAGAAGAAGAAAATGTATCCTTCAATTCCGTGTTGATTAGCAGGCCGGACAGATTATACTTTGACAGGCGCGCCCTCAGCTCCTAGCTCCTGCAAATATAAATAATAATAATCCAGATCAGATGCAATCTCTTTTCAGATGTGTAACCCTCTTGTTGTTGCTTCTGCCAAGAAGAGCAATAAAATCATGGATGTTACAATTTTGAGGTTAGAAGTTTGAGGTTTAGTGTGTGAGAGGGTATATATATATATATCCTCAATTAGGATTAGATCCCAATTTCATGACAATTTAATCCAATTGGTGCATTTTATCAAACATATAGTGCTGACATCTTTTTTTAATTAACCTCCTTTATTCAAAGCAAGAATATTGGAAATGTGAGTAGTGTGGCTATAATGTTATCCTATTCTCATATCAACAACACACATCCATGATCCTCTTGTATAATTGGCTCCTAATTATACAAAAGTCCATACAAAACAGTTACTCACAACAAGAACCATACCCTAACTAATGCATCATATAGGGCTGTTGATATTTTTGTGTAGATTTAATTTGACAAGGATGGGACATATATAATTGTGTAAATTCAAAACCTTGGATAATTTTGTGTAAAGTACTAATGTCATTACTTTCTTTTCAAAATCCTATTTGAAAATTAAGGTAGTTTGCACTACCTTTTTTAACTTCTTCTTTTTTTTTTTTTTTTTTTTTTTTTTTTCTTTTTTTTGATGTAGTGTAAATGTTAAAAGAAGATAAAGATATTTCCTTCTTTTCACTTTCAATTTTTAAAATTTGATAAAATGGCAATGGTATTGCCTTTTTTTCACTTTTAATTTTTTAAAAGTGAGAAAAATGCAATAATAGGCAATTTTTATTACTTCGTTTTTAAATTTTTTTTATTAAATATATTAGTTAATGACATAAACAAAGATTGCATGTTTTGATTTAATAACTTTTAAGCAGTCAACCGTTAAAATAATAAGTATATGGGAAAAATATACTCACCTGCATGCCACCCTTAAGTATGCACCACCTTCTTTTCAAATAGGATTTTGAAAATAGGTAACATTTTACACAAAATTATCTAAAATTTTGAATCTACACAATTTTGTCAAATCTATGTAAGTTTGGTTGGCCCTGTTTGGCAAAAAATTAGCCTATAGGCCAATTTTAACTTATTTGACCACTATTAATTGTTTGATTTAGTTAAAATATCAATATAAATGTTTGGTTAATTAACTTTTTGCAACTTCAAAAGGCTAAAATTCTAAAAGTTACTCCAATCAACTTTTTCAATTAGCTTTTTGAGAAAAGAAATTATACCAAACAGCTATCAGCTAATTTACCAAACACTTTTCTACAATCAGCTAATGTTATCAACTATTTATACCCTCTAATTAACACAATCAGCTAACAGCTAATAGCTATTTTACCAAACAGGGCCATATGTCTCTCATATTAGTCTCATATCATCCCAATTAATTTGCAATTTAATTCATTCAAGCATTCATGAATGAGGCAGACTCCTATAGCTTCTAACCTCATTTCCTTGATTGGCCCGCAGAGGCGAGGCGAGCCACTTTAGGGGCTTGCGCATCTTTAACAGATTTCTCAATCTCCTTTTTTTAAATTTGTGGATGTAAGACTTCAATTTCCCAACTCCAATTTCTTCCTCTACCATCTTCCCCCCTCCCCCTGCTGATGATTCACCCTCCTCCATTTTTATCTATGAAAACAAATGAGGTTAAGAAAAAATAAATTAATAATAACAGATTTTGCATAAAGAAAAAAGAAAATAGAAAATTAAGAAAGAATGAATGAGCCATAACTTCTAACCTTAGAATTTGCCTTTTCAACATCTTCTATATATTCAGGCCCCTGCCCTTGGATTTTGATCTATGATCAAGTAATGCAAAATACAGAAAGTAATAAATAAATTATATATTAAATAGTATGTAACACAATTTGCAAACAAGTTCCTTCACCATCTAATTTATATATTAAAGAAGAATGAACAAGTTAGAGCTTCCTTCTAACCTCAAAATTTTCTTTTCCAAAATTCTTCTTTAGCTTCTCTTGAATAATCCTAGCAGAAGCAACAATGGAAGGGCGGTGGCTAAACCTATCCATTTCAATTGACTTGAAGCAGAATATTTCTCCAAAACTGCTAGGGATCTCTTCCAAACACTCACAACATCTTAGGACTAGGTGCTCAAGACATGGAAAAGAATCTGTGTAAGCCTCCAACCTTTCGAGCTTTTCATCTTTAACAAGCAAGAATCTTAATCCATAGAACCCTCCTTCAACTACTTCCCATACTTTTCCATTGAACACATTTTCCAGCTTTAGTACCTCAAGCCATTTCAATGTCCCAATTACTCTTAAATCCCACCAAGAAAGATTAGTACCACTCAACTTCAACTTCTTCAGTTGTAAAGGAAAAATACACCTCTTAGGAAATGTCACAATGCACCCAACTGGAACTGTAATTGTTAGACTCTCAAGCCGTTTTAAATACTCCAAGGCCAAGTTATCCAAAATGAAGCGATTGCTGGAAGATCCACTAATCTGGCTGGCCTCTAAGTCTACTCTATACAGAATTTTCAGTATTTTTATGTTTGGGAAATTGAAATACACTTTATTTCTGCAATGAGTTGGAGTCACCCAAGATAATGTTCGCAAATTCTCTTTTACCACGACGGGAGGATCGACAACATAGCAAGTGCCAAGTTCAAGATGCCTTAACTGTGGTGGCTCCCAAATTGATGATGGCAAATGGAGAATAGGTGATCCATGTCTGTTACTACAGGAAACAATAAGTGTCTGCAAATTCGCATTACTTGACACAACATCACTCAAACCCTCAAACCATTGTGTTACAGATAAATATCTTAAAAATATCAAATCCCCTAATTGCATTGGCAGTTTTTGGAGGAATGGAGGTGGAACGAATGCCAAAACTCTTAATAGCTTGAGGGGTACATAAATTTCAGGATTCCCTTGAAAGAAGAAAATGGAGCGAGGGTTGTTTAAACTAAACAACACATAATAGTCAAAACTATGTTTGCATAAACTAAACCAGCGACACGAATTTGCAAATGCATTTAATGACCACCTTGGGAGTCGCTGAGTATTTACTGCACATAAAATTCCCTCTTTCTGAGCCTCTCTGAAACAGATGTTATGCATGACACTATGCACCCTACAAGTCTTAATTTTGCCATCAAAAGTCCGATTGCTTGTTAACACAAGGCTTCTACGAATGAGGACCTGTAAGTAACAATAAGCAATGCTTTCTAACTCCATATTACTCATCGATGGCTTCACAAATCCTTCAGCAATCCATAACCTAAGAAGTGTTTTAACTTGAATTTCACTGCGCTTTGGAAAGACTCCAAGATATAAAAAACAAAGTTTCAAATTTTCGGTCAAATGATTATACATGAGAATGAGTGTATTGTAATCTAGAATTCCCAACAATTCTATTTCCTTCTCAATCCTTTTCAATTCATGTTGTATGTTGTTGTTGCATTTGGATAAGCGCTCCGCAACTACAACAATTGCCAGTGGCAATCCTTCACATATCCCCACAACATGGGACAAGTGACTCCTAAATTTTCCAAATCCCGGTGCCCTATACTTCTCTAGAGGAAAGATAGTACAAAATAGATCCCAACTTTCATTTGGATTTAGTAAACTCATAGCATGATGTGTACCTTTGATTGTGCAAGCATAATCAGCCACCGGATAGAATCTAGTGGTCAGCAATATGCAACATCCATTCACTGCAGAATTGCAAAATAAGTGTTGTAATCGATCCCAATGCTGAGTGCTCCATATGTCATCCAAAACTATTAGATACCGCTTTTCCTTCAAGCATTCACAAACCTCACGCCAAAGATAGACTTCCGTTTCAATTTCATGATTTGGTGAAATTGACTGGAGAAGGTCGCGTACCACATTGATCTCATCGTAATTTTGAGTCACTGTAACCCATCCTCGTACCTGGAAATGCAATGCAACCGATTGATCTTTCAAGATTTCTCTTGCTAAAGTAGTCTTTCCTATGCCTAGCATCCCAACAATTGGGATTACTTTGACACCCTGAAAGTGACTAAAGAGTTTGTTCTTGATCATACTAACTTCATTTTGATGACCGGTCATTCTGCCCTCCTCAAGTTTTGGATAGCACCGAGAGAATTCAAATTCAGACTGAGCATGATTGGCTTCGTTCCTTGTTGTGTTGTGGATAGTGCTCAACAGCTGTGCTGCGTTTTCTGTAGCTTGATGCGAGGTTTGAAAGAGTGCTTCTGAAGCTTCTTTTTCATCGTCTGGGTGCTCTTTGTTGGCCACACAAAAGTTTGTAAATTGTCTTTCGAGGTCTTCTTTAGCTTTGAGTACAAAGTCTGTGATTTCAGCTGCACCAAAATTGGATTTCTGCAGAAACTTCTGCAAATCAAAGAGTGTTTTTTTGAGAGATCTTAGTGTTGTATTTACGTCGAAAAACACCCTTCTCAGTTGCAAAGGAAAATGATAATGATTTATTCTTGTCATGAGATTAGTTAAATCATCACAACATTCATAAGTCTTCAGTCTTTCCTCCAGCTCTACTCTCTTTTCTTCTGCTTGTTTCAAGGTTTGACACAGTTCCGGGGATACTTCTTCTTCACCCACTGTGTCTTTGGCCAGAACAAAATTGCTCAAGTGTATCTTCATCTCATCTTCAACTAAATCTCCTATTTGTGTTTCCAAATCTTTGATTGCAGCAGGAGCACGAATATGAGGAAATAATTGTCGCAAAGAAGAAAGACTTTGAATGAGAGATTTGAATTGGGTTTGAATTTGATCATAAACCACCCTTGTCGCTTTGGATTGTATAGACTTCATATGATGATCTACTATTCTCTTGAGATAAGTTAAATCATCATTCAGTCTCTTATACTCTTTTCCGCAGTTGATAATCTCCACCACATCTGCAGTCTTTTCTTGTGCTTGTTGCAAGATTTGACACAGTTGCTGGGAAGCTGCTTCTTCATGCACTGCGTCGTCTTTGGCTTTGGCCACAACAAAGGTGCTTAGCTGTATTTCGATGTCATCTTCAACTTTGAGTGCAAAGTCTCTTATTAGGATTCCAAAATATTTGATTGCAGCACCACCGGCTCTGGATTTCTTTTCCAGAAAGGGCTGCAAAGAAGAAAGGTTTTCATACAAAGATTTGATGATGGGTGGTGTTTGATCATCACGAAAAGAAACTCTTGGGATGGGTTGCAGAAAGTGAAGCTCAATTGTTGTCTTTAGAGAAGTCAAAGCAACATAAGCCATCTCGATCTCACTAGATCTTTTTCTGTGATTGTTTGAATGGGAAATTAAAATGCAATTACAAGAGTGAGTTATGCGAACAGAGAAGCAATTTGAGGGCGGATTGTGTTAATAGCAAAAGACAAAGGCCTTAACTTCTGTGTGAAAATTTCAACAAAGCCAGCTTGCTGCCGGCAAGGTGAATTTGGAGTTTCATTTCTCGAGAACACCGATCACCAATTGCAATTTATATCCTACTCCAGGTCCATATTACACTGTAGACTTTGGATCAAAACGATGTGATTTCGATTTTTTTTTTTTTTTTTTTTTTTTGGAGGATATGTGATTTTTTGATATTTAAACTTTAAATAATTCTGTAATAATTTCTCATTATTCTTGTTGCAACACAAATTAAATTTTAAATTATAATTTAGGCAGAAGGGTTAAATATAACATTGATTGTTCATCTAACACCATGAACTAAAATATGGTCCATCTATACCATTATACTCTCAATTATTTTTCATCTAGCATTTTAGCAAGTTTCTAACAAATAACCCATCTAATTTGCTTACATGAAAAAATAAAATAAAAACAAAATGCTGAGATGTTATTTTTTCATATAACTTGTTGTTTTTGTCACTTTTTTTTTTTGGCAGAAAAATTCAAAATTTTTAACGTATTTTCATATTATGTTGATTTTTTATATGGCTTGAAAGATTCCAACTCCCCCTCTGTTGTGAGTGTTGAGTGTGAAAACACGTAGAGGTATTCTAAGCGGGATGCACACATGCTGTTGTTACCATAATTTGCCCTGCAAAATGTGTCATGGAGGGGCACCCCATCGCCTTCAGAAACATGGTCGCTTCCCTCGGGGACATATGGCAGTCTCCTTTCTTCGTTGTCTATCTCTTTCTCTTTCCAATGCTACAGATTATACCTCATAACGCGAAGTTCCTTAGCTTTTACTTCAGTCAGATTGTAGTTGCATCCAGTAAACGCAAGCATGTTCTTTTCGTATCTACACTCAAAGGAAGTCGGTTAATTAAGTTACACCTCAAACATTAAATCAAAAACCGTGTTAGTTATTATACCTCAAATGAAGAGCAATATGCAGATCATCGTTGTCCCTTAGTCTATTAACCAGCTTTTTTCCAAGCTCCTCAATCTCAGGTGTGTACCGAAGAGCCTCATAGTCGCACTATCCAAAACCAAAATAAAAACCAATGCCAATGCCAATGCCAATACCAATAAATGGGTTCAAAAACCACAAATGCGGTAACATGCTCATTTCACAACTGACGGGAAAAATAGATTCACTATTTTTCTGAAAAATTCGTAGAAGAAATCAACACAATCTGGAAATGCATAAAAAAATGAATTTTTTCTACCGAAAAAAGTGACAAACATCAAGTTAGATGAAAAAATAACATGTCAGCATTTTGTTTTTATTTTATTTTTCCATATAAGCAAATTAGATGGGTTACTTGTTAGAAACTTGCTAAAAATGCTAGATGAAAAATAATTGAGACTATAATGGCTTAGATAGACCATATTTTAATTCATTGTGTTAAATGAACAATCAATGTTACTACATGGGTCTATTTGACCCATCTGCCTATAATTTATTCTAGGTACAGAATTAACATCTTAAGTTACAGAATTTCATAACACAAAACACAAGACATATGCACACGTTATATATTTACTTATTCTCAAATCTGATTAATGTAAATGAATTAATACCCAAGATAGTCCTCCGACTATTAGCTAATACTCGATTTTGTTCCAAAGTATTAAAAGTATTCAATTTAGTCCTCTTATTTTTAAAATCACACCTAATATAGTCATCCGTTACAATTGCCATCAAACCACCGTTATTTTGAGAGCATAAACGTCATTTTAGCAAACCAAACCCGTTTCTTCCTCTGGTTTGTGTCGCGACTCCATAAATTGAAAAAATCCCTAATAGGAATGGAAGGCAGAGCAACAGAGTTAACAACAACATCATCCTCGTCCTCTGATCTTTCACCAAATCTAGCTCTGCCGTGTCCGTCGACGACGAAACTGAGGAAATACACTTAGTCGAGCCAAAATTAGGGCTCCGTCCAGTGCGAGGCAGCCCGTAGCCACCGGCTGGCATGGTTGAGAACTGATAGTCGCGGCGGATGACGGGGATAAAAGGGATAGTAATAGGCTTAGAGTGTGGCGGCAAAATGGGATGGTGGAGTGGAAGAGCGTGGGAAGTGAGGGGGTGCGGTTTGACAGAGAGAGTGAATAGAGTACGGAGCACTCCGGCGTCGACGTCGAGGAGAGCGCGGTGGGCGCCGTGTCCCCATGCCGTCCTCATAGTCACCTTCATCCTCATCGTTGCCGCATTGACTTGGCGCCTCCACACAAAGGGGTTTATTTTGTTTAGGGATGGCAATTTCAATCTGCCCCGTGGATATCCACCCGAATCCACCCCGTATGGATCGGGTTTTTTTGGGAGATGGTGGATGGTGGGTCGGGGTGGGTCTTAAAAAAGTAAATCCGCGGTGAGTTGGGTTGGATTCAGATTCTATGTACAAAACCCACCTAGAACCCCACCCAACCCCCCATGTGTGTGTATATATATATATATAATAGTTAAATAAGTACTAGTATGTAGTTATTTATAAAAGTTTATATAACTTCGTGTATCTTTTTATTACTTTTTTATATCTAAAGTACTAACTTTATTTTAAAAATTTGGTTAATATATTTAAATATTTCTATTATTTTATATTTTAGTATCACTAATGAATTTTATTATTTTATTTTGTGTAAGTAATTTAAATATTATTTTTTGAAAAAAATAATAAGATGATATGTGGTGAGTACCCGTAGTGGACACCCCGCTCCTGGTGGGGTTGGGGGTGGGTTTTGAAAAAGTCCACCCAATGCGGGTTGGAGGTAAAGGTGGGTGGAAGAAATATAAGGTGGGTCGGGTGATGAATATATCCCTCCCCGACCCATACCCGACCCATTACCATCCCTAATTTTGTTTAGTACACTTCAGTTTTACTAAATGAGATGAGATTATTGGGCTAGGGTGCGTGGGTGCAATTTCTGTGTCATGGCTTAATGATACTTCGAATCTTCTACAATTTCTTGAGTTCCAATTGAAGCTTCGAATCTTCTGCAATTTCTCAATTCAATGGCTTTCTGGATCTCCCTTTCTTCAAATGGAAGACATGTGCTTTAATCTCTAAAATGACATTTATGCCCTTCAACATAACGGGTGATTAATGGCAATTGTAACGGAAGACCCTATTGGGTAGCATTTTAAAAGTGAGTGGACTAAATTGAGTACGTTTAATACTTTGGGACAAAATCGAGTATTAGCTAATAGTTAGAGGACCATTTTGGGTATTAACTCTAATGTAAATAATATATGTCTTATAGGCACATAAATTCATTATACAAGACATAAATTCATAAAGTTCGACACAATACGTTGATACGCATCAAAGGAAAGAAATTGGTGGTTTAATTAATGGAGGGTCTAAAAGAAATGAATCATATGTAATTAGAGGATAATTGACTAAATATTAGTATAAGAAATTATGTATATTAGAATATATAATTACCGGGGATAACAAGTTGCCTCAATGATTAACGGGGTTAACTTCAGTTGTGTTAGGCGATCTGCGAATCGTGCAGCTCATGCTATAGCACGGGATGCCGTTTCTGTGTCAGGTCCTGGGGAGTAGTTGAATTCACCACCCCATTATCTTGTTTCTATTCTTGCCAATGATCGAATGAATTAAGTTTTCTTTTTCAAAAAAAAGAATATATAATTACCGTGTATAGTTAATTAGAATAATTTTAGTAACTTAATTATATTATTATAGGCGTTAGTAATTTAGTATAAATAGGTCCATTGTATATGAATACAGGGAACCACTCAAAGAAATATATTCTTATTTTATTATTCTAGTCTATTTATCTTAGAGTCCTCACATGCTCGAAGTGTGAAATTGGAGTTTGCCGTGACTCGAATACGATTAGGAGCCAGAAGCCTGCTTGAAAGGTTTCCTATCCATTGAGATCCTATTTAGGGTAGTAACAATTGGTGCTTTCATTGAAAGGATTTGTAGATGCATCACGTAACAATTGGTGTTTTCGTTGATTCCATTGGTGAGAGTATCCCCTATCTTTCAATATTTTTTTTATTTTTTATTTTTTGTTTCATCTAGTGGTGGAGCCACAGTGGGGGCAGCTGCCCCCACTCCCTCACCCCATATATATATATATATATATATATATATATATATATATATAACAAGTTTAAATCAATGGTTGGTTTGGTTGAGATGGTAAAGTCATTGTTTGTATGTAATGTGAAATGCTAAGTGGGTTGAATCTCAAAGCATTTAATTTTCTTTTAGAATTTTTTAATATTAGTGAGAACTCTATTTTGATTTTTTATTTGTAACATTGTGGCTTCTTTTTTTGTCATTGTTTAATATTAATAGTGAGATGAATGAAATTTTGTTTTTGGCATTTTTTAATAGAGTTAATACCCAAAATGGTCCTCAGCTATAGTGCTTTTTCTCAATTTCGTTCTAAACGACTTTGGTGACCTAATATAGCCCCATACTTTTGTGCTTTGCTCAATTTAGTCATCGTTTGTTATTCTGTCAAATTGGTGTTAAATAAAGGGACAATTCAGTAATCTCAATATTGACCTCTCTTTAATTTCAACCTAGCTATGAAGTGCGAAATCCCTCATTCTTGTATGAATTACTCCTACAATTACTTCCACCAGTAGACCTGCGAATCAAATTTTATATTCGCACGTTTAGGAGTAATTCGTAAAAAAAGAGAGATTTCGCACTTTGCAGGTCTAGGAGTAAAGAAATGCCAATATTGAAATTACTAAATTGTCTATCAATTTAACACCAAACGGACAAAATAACAAACGAAGGACTAAATTAAGCAAAAACACAAAAGTCTGGGACTAAATTTAGTAACAACACAAAACTTTGAGACTACATTAGGTCACCAAAGTCGTTTAGGAGGAAATTGAAAAAAATTAGTATAGTCTAGGACCATTTTGTTTATTAACTCTACAAAGAAACAAGTTCAAGATTTAATCTTATGGGATACAAGGAGATGAATGAAATTATTAAGTTACTCTGTTTAAGAATTTTCTGTAAAATTGTAAAAAACTTTGAAATATATTTGTATACTGCAAGTTTGATTGAATGTATTACTTTCAGATGTCTCTCCAAAGTATTATATGAAATATATTGACTGTTACGAGATGTTACATCTGGAAGTTACATCAATTTAAAACTCCAACGTTCACAAGATATATCTTAATAATATATCTGTGATGAAAAAAATATATAATTACTTAAACCATGTATGTTAATTTTGTAATCAATAACGTACCTGCATAGGTTATGTAGGGCATGCGAAATTATTAAGTAAAATATATATATATTATATATTGACAACTTCAATGCATGTCACCCATGCAAAGAAGTAAATTATATATATATATATATATATATATGATGGAGATATTAGGAATCGATCCGAACAAACCCGAGAGCACGGAGCAATGGGTTTCGGGGCGATGCCACGTACCAGCCCTGACGCAAAGCCTCGACACGCGGCCTCTACGTGAGGCCGGCTCGGGGTCGAACCGGCCTCTACACGGGGTCGGACCGGCCTCTACAAGGGGTCGGACCGGCCCCAGTAGAGCGGCACGGTCGCGAGACCGGGCGCGGTCAACTTGAGATCCAACCACCCCCCGTTTTAGGGGGAGGCGGTTGGGGGGTTTAACTTGTATAAAGTCCCTCCATTTGGTCCTAACACGACACGATCTATCCTACTTACATACTTTGTAATAGCGAACCATTGTAATAGCCTATTTACGGCACTTGATATAATCTACGGTCCTCACGACCTACGGTCCCTGCGGCCTTACGACATCGTTTTGTCCCGTTTATATATTTCCCATATTACGTTCTTATCCGGGTTTAATAATTCGGGCCACATCGGGTTAATTAAATCCATCATTGGTGCTCTTGTTGAGAGCTGCTGTACCAGCTCAAGTGTGTTCTTTATCCTTCGATCCACCGCGATCAGCTACCATGGCAAGGTCGAGATCCAACTCTCGCCACACCAACGGTTCCCGCGACACCCAGCTCGCCGCAACCGGGAACGGCCCCAACAGGGCCCCCAGCCTCCAACCGGCCGCCTCCACTAGGTCGGGGGGAGATCTGAGGGGTCAGCTCACCAACCACCGTAGCGGTGGTGCACCGCCCCCGCTCCGAATCTCGCTCTTTTTTGAGAGAGAGTGGCGGTCTTCGAACAAGCCTCGATGACGCTCGCACGAGTTGCGGCGGGCCTTCGGGTAGGTGCGCAAGCCGTCCCGGACGTCATCCAAATGGTGTCGGCCCCGCCTCCACCTCCCTCCAGGAGGCGCAGTAGTGGTGCACCGCCCCCGCCGCCCCCGTTCCGAACCTTGCTCTCTTTCAGGAGGGGGTGGTGGTCTTTCAACAGGCTTCCACGATGCTAGCCTGGGTCGCGGAAGGCCTTTGGGCAGGTGCGCGAGCTGACCCGGACGTCATCCAAAGGGTGTCAGCCCCGCCTCCACCTCCCTCTGGGGGCGCAGCAGTGGTGCACCGCCCCCGTTCCGAACCTTGCTCTCTTTCAGGAGGGGGTGGTGGTCTTTCAACAGGCTTCTACGACGCTAGCGTAGGTCGCGAAAGGCCTTCAGGCAGGTGCGCAAGCCGACCGGGATGTCATCCAAAGGGTGTCGGCCCCGCCTCCACCTCCCTCCAGTGGGCACAGCAGTGGTGCACCGCCCCCATTCCTAACCTTGCTCTCTTTCAGGAGGGGGTGGTGGTCTTTCAACAGGTTTCCACGACACTAGACCGGGTCGCGAAAGGCTTCCGGCCAGGTGCGCAAGCCGACCCGGACGTCATCCAAAGGGTGTCGGCCCCGCCTCCACCTCCCTCCAAGGGGCGCATCAGTAGTGCACTGGCCCCGCCGCCCCCGTTCCAAACCTCTTTCGCACCCAACACGCCCTAACTATGAACGGCCCCAACGGGGTCCCTAGCCTCCAACCGACCGTTTCCAACAAGTCGGGAAGGGACTTGAAAGATCACCTCATTAACCATGGCAGCGGTGGTGTGCCGGTCCGCCCCTCCTCCGACTCTCGCCCCGCTACAGGTGGGGGCGGTTGCCCTTTAACAATCCTCTACGACTTTGGCTAACCTCGCAGAGGGTCCCTAAGGATGTACACAAGACGGTCCGCCCCTCCTCCGAATCTCGCACCGCTACCAGAGGGGGCGATTATCCTTTAACAATCCTCTGCGACTTTGGCTAACCTCGCAGAGGGTCCCCAATGAGGTACGCAATACGGTCCGCCCCTCATCCGAATCTTTCCCCGTTACCGGAGGGGGCAGTTGCCCTTTAATAATCCTCTGCTACTTTGGCTCACCTCGCAGAGGATCCCCAAGGAGGTACGCAAGACAGTCCACCCCTCCTCCGAATGTCGCCCCGCTATAGGAGGGGGCGGTTTCCCTTTAACAATCCTCTGCGACTTTGGCTCACCTCGCAGAGGGTCCCCAATGAGGTGTGCACGACGGCCCGGAGGCTACACAAAGGACGCCGACCCCGCCTCCGCCTCCACCTCCCTTAAGGGGGCGCATCGGTCCAAGCACTCGGGCACTCTACACTCAAATCGAAGAGGATGTCAACTCGCCCTGGTCATCGGACACGCGGTGAGGGGGTGACATCCGCCAAGATCGCCATCAAGAGGGCGATAGAGGGAGGTCGACCCACGCTAGGCCCGCCTTGGAGAGGCTTGGCAAGCGCGTGTGGCCCGAGATAGGTTGGGTCTAAGGCCAACCACCAACGCACCACCAGCAGAGGAATCATGTCCCCGAAGGTCTCCTAGCCGGGGCTTTTAAGCCCCGCCGTGGTAGGAATTGTTTTCACGTAGGTCGCGGAGCCACGGGCCCCGAGCTCCGTCACGACGCGAGTAGGCCTCTCGAGATGAGAGGTCGAGAGAAACGAATAGTCGAGCTCCAAGCACCAATCGTGACGAGGTCGGGCAGCTCCATAAGCGAATGAACGAGTTCCTGGAGGGGATGGTCGCGCTCCAACAAGCTACCACCTTGTCGACCTGCCCCGGTGAGGGGCTCCAAGGAGGTGTCCAAACCCTCCTGCTCGGCCCGATGTCTCTCGAGGGGTGCCTACATTTACCCCACCCCCTCCCAATGGAGCGTGATAGGTTGAGCACCCGGCTTCCCCGAACCCCAAGAGCTCAAATATGGACATATGTTTTTATCAATCAATAGTCACGGTCGTGCGTGTCGGCCCCGACTTTGGTATTCCCTAATGGTAGTATAGGGGGGACGCCCCCGCTCACTACTTAACGGAAGAACCTATTATGGGATGTTTGCCCCTTGACACGACCGATGCCAAGCAGGTGAGGAGAACCAACCCGCTCCTCGGTGATACACTCTACAGGAGGTCCTATAACGACACCCTACTGCAATGCCTATACCCCATCGAGGCAAAATCTATCGTCAAGGCTCGATGATCCCTTTTTCAAGGTGGGGGTGGACATAGTGGAAGCCCTACCTATAGGGTCAGCAGGCGTGGCCTGGGTGGAGGAGTTAGACTCCATTCTATAGGTGTACCGCACCACCCTCCTACGAGCCACGAGCGAGACCCCCTTCTCATTATCCTATGGTTTCAGGTACCGCATAACCCCTCCTACTAGTACCCTAAGGGGGCATGAGGTCCGACCTCGCGTACCAACCCCGACGGAAGAGCTTAACGACCCGGCGTCGAACGACCTAGGTCAAAGGGCTAGTACCCTAAGGGGGCACGAGGGCCGACCTCGCATTACCAACCCCGACGGAAGAGCTTAACGGCCCAGCGTCGAACGACCTGGGTCAAGCAGCTAGTACCCTAAGGGGGCACGAGCCCCGACCTCGTGTACCAACCCTAACGGAAGGGCCCAAGTACCTATGCTCAAAGAGCTAGGACGGAGCGACAAAGGCACACTAAGGGGGCACGAGGCCCGACCTCGCGTACCAACCCCGACAAAAGAGCCCAAGTACCTATGCTCAAAGAGCTAGGACAGAATGGCTATCACACCCCGAGGGGGCACGAGGCCGGACCTCGCGTACCAACCCCGACGGAGGAGCCCGAAGTGCCTAGGCTCGAAAGAGCTAGGACGAAGCGGCTATCACTCTTTAAGGGGGCACGAGACCGAACCTTACGTACCAACCCCAATGGAAGGGCCCAAGTACCTATGCTCAAAGAGCTAGGACGTAGCGGCTAACGCACCCTAAGGGGGCCCGAGGCCCGACCTCGCGTACCAACCCATACGGAAGGGCCCAAGTACCTATGCGCAAAGAGCTAGGACAGAGCGGCTAACGCACCCTAAGGGGGGCACGAGGCCCAACCTCGCGTACCAAACACGACGGAGTCCCCACCAAGCAAAAAAAAAAAAAATCCTGCCCGGCATTGGGGCGAGGCCAGGGGCCGCGAGGCCATGTCCTACCTCTTGTCGTCGTACCGGCGCTGCGATGGGGCCTTAGTAACAGAGACACATGTTGTGTTGTTCAAATTACCAAGTAGACAAGAGATAAAAGAGAAGATCCAACTTTCGAATCATAGCAAAAGGTAACACAAAGAGTTGCCATAAAACCACAACAT